TCCTAAATTCATGCAGGGCCGCGCAGAAAGACCTATGAGGTCCAAGAAAGAGGAGTGCTTGGCAGGTTAAAAAAAAGCAGGAGCCTCCGCCCCATTGAAATCACATATATATATATATTTCTACATATATAGACATATAGATGTATCATATTACATATTTTAGATGAGTGCAGTATAGCTGCCAAGGATGTGAGCCTCAGGCAATGCAAACGGGGTAGTCTAGTTGTAGCCGATGTTGCGTGGCTATCTTGTTTTAGTTGATCTTACATGGGCAGGAAAACTTCCAGAGCAAAGCGTGCCCAAAGCACCAAGGGTTTCACAGCAGTGTCACACTAATGCAAACTGAGTGCCGACCGCCAATTTTGCAAGTCAAGCCTTCGACCGCTCCCTACTTTTGCCACCGGCCTTCTTCCTTCTTCGCGGCGCGCCATGTCGGTCTTCGCTGTGCCCACCCCGGACGAGGCGAAGCGTGGTGCAATGAATGCCAAGCAGAAGCAGAAAGCACAGAAAGTCAAGCAATCAGCAAAAAACAAGTGTGTGTATATATAGATATATGTGTGTGTCTAGTAAGAATGGACCAAAAACGTCTACCACCTTGTTTCTTCTCCTCGTTTTCAACCGTATGATAATATCCAATGCCCTTTTTGAGCAGGCCTTCCTCGTGCTCAAGATGCCCCCTGATGGAGATTGCCTCTTTCACGCGCTTGCCATTCACGAAGACGGCGACGGCGCAGAACTGAGGAAGGAAGTGTCCGACTACCTCGAGAACACCGCGGAGGAAGAAGCCGACATTCAGGCTTGCCAGGCTTTCTACGATGAAGCTGATCATCTCCGTGGCCCCAAAGAATCAAACTGGGGAGGACACACGAGCTTGGTGGCATACACCAAGATGCGCGGCCGCAAAGTGTATGTCCACACGCTGCAGGCAGATGGGAGTTGCCATGTACAGGATGCGACCCATGCCACCGTGCCAGGAGACTCAATTGCCACCCACGTGCCCTACAACGGTGCCACCCACTACGACGCATTGCTTCATCCCGAGGAAGCTTCACACACAAATGTTGAGCCAGCGTGGGCAAACCAAAGCCTGCCAGCCAAGTATTTCCAACAGAGGGAAATCACTACCACGTCGGCTTCCACAGCAGCAGCGGCACCAGTACCTGAGCCACCAAACAAGAAAGCGCGCGCGGCTTCCACAGCAGCAGCGGCACCAGTACCCGAGCCACCAAAGAAGAAAGCGCGTGAGGCTTCCACAACAGCAACGCCTCCAGCACCGCAGCCACCAAAGAAGAAAGCTCGCGTGGCAAACCCCGCAGATAGTCAAAATACAAGCAACGCAGATCCCAGCGAAACCCAGCAAGAACACAGGCGGTACTACCGCAAAACAACGCCCCCGCCAGAGCTCCGCGACAGCATCATGGACGAGATCAGCAACGCAAAGGTGGGCCACATCTCCGAAACGGAAGCCAGGCACATGGAAAGCTTACTAGAGGACGGAATGCAGCAGTTGATGGCTCTTGCTATGCATTGAAATGTAACATCTTGATGCAATGAAACACCTTCAAGTCAACGCCGATTGGATAAAAGCATTTTAAGGGATCTTGTAACTCTTTGTATTCTTGTTTGCCTGACGATTTCACGATGAAATGCTGACAAGACAAGCCACAGGAGCTATCGCGCAAACGCCTGAGGGAAAACCCGACTGTGCCGCCAAGCTCAACACTAGACGCGGCAGATGATGGAGAGCGATGGCCTGAAGTCTTCTGTGCTTTTCAAGGTTGCCACTGGGAGATGACAGGTGGGGAGGAAGCTGATCTGCAACAACACCTTGCCGAACACCACGCTGACGAGCTCCAACCTTTGCTCGACGAGGGTGACGCTCCTGAGAGAATGATGTGCTTCTATCAAGAAGCGGTCTCTCATGCTTGTCGACGGCAAGCTCCTTTGGCAGGCTCCTCCTTAGACCGAACAGCCCTGTCTACCTTCGCAACTGCCCTTGCCAATGACAATATTGAAGCGCTCATTTGTGCCTCCTGCGCATGTGTACACACGTGCGTGCAAGACAACAAGGCAGGCATCCAGTGGGAAAAGCCGCTTGATTACAGCACTGATGGCGGTGAGTGCTTTCAATTTCTGGGGCAACCCGTGCAGAACGTGGCCACCCTCCTCGGGCTCGAAAACTTTTTGAAGGCCTACGACATCCTAGATAAGGTAGGCGCTGCCAAGATCAGCAACCACGAGTCCTTCGAATCCTGGAAGCTTTCAATCCCAATGCCCAGCTCTGACGATGGACAGGTGGACATTTTATGTTGCCCCGAGGCGCGGCATCATGCACCGGGACGTCCCGCGCGCGCACAAAAACGGCATATACCACAAACATGTTTAGATTTTAAAGCCTTTAAGAAACAAGCCAAAAACACAGACAGCCTCGCGCATCCGGTCCCCTTCCACTCATTTCCTTGCAGGACCATCGCTGCAACGCGAACCCGGAGCACGTGGACATGAAGATCCTTTGCCCAGAATGCGAAGTACCGCTTTGCCAAGCATGCAAAGAGCATCTAACATCCGGCAGCCTACCCCCACTTTCTTTGGCCAACGACATGTTCACCGGCTACGCGCCAAAAAGGATCTACGAGGAGAAGGTCACCGTCATGGAACTGATCTGCGCAAGTCCGTGCATCACGGCTTTGATTTGCATCTCCATGGAAGCCAAACATCGTCATCAAGCATCTGCGATGGACGAAGTTGCCCACATGGCCCGGCACAAATATGGAGCCAGGGGAAATGCACTCACATTCCCGCTTCCATGGGAAGACATCCTTCGCGCCTTACAAGCCAATATGGATGAATATGCAGATGACGCTGTAGTGCCAAGGAGCGGAGCAGAACTTGCGTCTGTAGCAAGGGTCCTCCTCAAGACTAACAAGCAGGGAAGGACCACCGAAGAAGACATCAAGAACCTCATCCATCAGGCAACTGTTCGACGACAGGCGCGCATGGAAGGTAAACTGTGTTACGGTATTGTTCTAGCACAAGCTGACGAACATCTAAATAAACAGACTATATATATATATATATGTCCATATTTGTTTTTGTAAATGGATTAATAAATGATAGACGTGATGTAGGTGCTATTGACACGCTGTTTAAACCCCAACCGGGCTCTCTCCCTCCCAGCGCCCACGCGCAGGTAGTTGTCGACCTAATCATGGACTTGCAGCGAGCCGGGCATCCCTACTTCATTCACATCTCGGAGGCCAAGGTGAAAGCCAAGGCAGAAGCACTGCCGGTTGCCGGGGTACCAGCAGAAGTCCTCACGGTCATCAATGAGCTTGATGACAGCAGCGAAAAGCTCCAGCCTCAAAAAGCAGCAACCCCACGAGATGCCATGAAAGACTTTGAAGAAGCAGGCAGGATCTTTGCAGCCCAACGACCCCGTGCTGCAGTTCCAGAAGGTCAGAACAGCCAGGACACCACCCAGACATGCAAGGCTGCCCTGAAAGACCTCACTGATGCACTGACGACAGACACCAACTTTCCAAACGGATATGGAGAAGAAGCGGTGCCTACAGTGCCTACTTTCGAAATTCGAACCGGCAACGAGCTAGTAGACCAATTCCAACCGGCCTACTTTGCCGTGGCCTTTTGCTTCTGCTTCCAATATGCCACTGCCTACCCAGACGTCACCAACACCACGAAAGAACACCTCGCCCGCATAGAGGGCCAAATCACGGCAAGGCGAAGCGAAGAAGCGCCGCAGATTGACATCCACACCTGGGCCGCTGCAATGCAAAGACGAGTGGAAGCACAGTTTCGACGAGACTGGGTCTTCGGCTTCACCCTGTGGAACTACATCTTTCGCACTATGGTCAACACCCAGCAGAATGCTTACATGTATGCGCTACCGAACGAGGAAACAGGCGGCCGGACGCTCATGAAAAACGAGGACATCGCCAAAGGTGTCATGGAAATTCAAAACAAGCTCCACTATGGCACTTTCACGGACATCAACGGGGTCGACAAGGGCGTGAATGGCGATTTCACCAAACTCAGGCACGTGCCCAACCTCTCAGATGGAGCTCGCAAGGTTCTGAGCAACGTGGAGGCCCGCACCCGCAACATTCCGGGCACGCATGAGGTCCGAAAAACCATGCGCCATCAGACGCATGCCAACAGGGTCTGCTATGGCACCTCCATGTTCTTGACCTTCTCGCCTTCAGAGAGAGACACTGCGTTGATGCTCCGGCTAGCGCGAGTGCGTGAAGAAGACCCCGCCCTCACGCACGACGCTTCCAAAACATTTCAATCCAGGAGCATGCCTCGGTTGGATATGGACTTTGTCCGCTTGGACCCAGAACAACTAGCCGCGGACGCCTGGCGGCAAGCACAAAGAACATCAGCCGCGGATATATTCAATCAATTTTTGCTGACTATCACGCGCGTCGCTTAGACACATGCACGTCATACATTACATTCATAGGCTTAAAATATATGTGTATACATACATCTATCTATCTATCTATCTATAGATTAAACAGCTTGAGCGATTGGATGTAGCATTTCCATGTAGTAATAATATGGGTTGCCGCGCGTGCAGATACATGCTGCAGATCTATATTTCGTTGTGCCTGTACAAACGTGTTCTACTTTAGCGTGCAGATGAAACTAGTTCTCGAAGTGACAAATCTACACCTTTTGTTGCTTAAGGAGTTGCCCAACTACGAACAGCGCCGAGCAATGCTTTCCCGAGATCCACTGGCATGCGCAGATGGCTTCCACACTTTGGTCTTGCTCACCTTGAAGCATTTGCTTGGTGTCCGCTGCTGCCCCAGGTGCCCAGACTGCAATGCCACAGACGAGCCCTGCATGAACAGCTTTGGGAGCAACGCAACTGCTCGAGGTGGAGTGTTTGGAAGGGTTGACGCAGTCTACGGCTCCATAGAATGCCAGAAGAGCGGCACATTGCACGGCCACTTTCAGATCTTCATCCAGTGCTTCTACCAGTTCACTCCCTTGAAAGAACTCATCAAGCTGCAGGCCACGGACAGGTTGGAGATGCTCAGAAGATACACGGCCTACTCTGCGCACGTCACTCGGACAGTCTACGCTGATCCAGAAGCGTGGCGCAGAGACAAAGATGAAGTGGAGGCGGAGTGGCCCGAGTACCAGAACTGTTTGCTGATGCTGTCCCGGCCAAGCTACCAGCGGGACGCAAATGCGATGCCAGCCGCTTGGAAGCTGCAATACTTACACGAAGATGTCGAGCAGCTACAGCAAAGAAAGCAGCACCATGTCCACCTGCCAGATGGCCCAAATGGTGAGCGAAAACCGTTGGCACACTGCCGGGACCCCAAAGACCCCAACAAGTGCAAGAGCGGCTTCCCTCGCAACAAGTGGCTCACCGAAGAAGCTCTCGTCATCTGCCCCGGTCTAGCAGACAAGATGGGCATGCCATGCAAGGGCAAAAGGAGCATGGTCGGCCTGACCTGGGGCCCTTGCAACGACGAGTCCCTCAACGGACACCACCCAGCACTGCTTGCAGCGCTCCGCTGCAACGGAGACGTGCAAGTCCCGTACCGGTTCCCGATCATGCCAGAATACCACCACGCCTCATGCCAGCAGGGCTGCGACCAAACCATGCCCATCTGGTCCCTCGTCCGGGACGCGCAGATCAACCAAGCAGCCCAAACTGGATACCAGTGTGATTATCAGAACAAGCGGCTGCCCATCTGCAGGCATGAAGCCAAAGAATGGGAAAAGGGGCAAAAGAATTTGCAAGCAGAGCTGCATGACAAGAAGCCTGGCTATGTCGGGGCACGGCTGGCAAAGCGCCTCATCACAGACTGCTATGCCCGTGGGGTATGCAGGGGTGCCGTGGAATGCACAAACCTCATCTTGCACAGCCAGCACCACGACCCGACCAGAGCCGAGGCCATCAAGACGGCGCCCGTGGCAGAGATGACCTTGCAATATCCGCTGCATCTGATCCAAAGCCTATACAACGAGGAGCCATGGCCACAAGAACCAAGGCGCAAGCAAGTGGATCGGCGCAACTACTTCAGGAGACAACTTACAGATTGCCCCTTTTGGACTGCTTATGGCGCCCGTGGCTCAACGCCCTCACTGCACCGACTCTCTGCCTACGAATTCCACCGCCACTACCACTTCCAGATGGCCAAGCACCCGCGAAGCAAAGCCGGCCACGAGAAAGCCCAGGAGAGCGCCGACGATTATCAAGCTCGACTCACCGAAGCGGGTCTCGAGAAAGTGGAGCGGCTCGGCAAGACGCCCACCTTGAGCCCGGGCATCGACTACCAGATCATCGAAGAAGGCGGTGACTGGTGGTACCCCTTGGGCTCCGGAGAAAAAGCCCAAACACACCGGCATGACTGGGTGATAGTGCCCCGTCGCCGCCCTTATGTCCCTGTGGTCTATGGGGCGCAAGGTGGCAAGACGGAAGAAGAGCAAGCCCTTCGCATGCTGATCCTCTTCTTCCCTTGGGTGAATGACGTCAACGATGCCACCTTGCTGGTCCCCTACATCGGGCATTTCCGCGAGCCAGACATGACCAGTTGGCGGCAAGCGCTGAGAGCCAGAGTTCTTCGCTACGGTTTCCCCACGGAAGAGGTCAAGCGCTTTGCCATCAACTTTTGCTTCACCTACTTCTTGCCCCGGCACCTTCAGCCAACCGAGGGCCTTGCCGAGAATAGCGACAACGAGAACCTCGAAGACGAGCCTGTCACTTTTTTGGAGGAAGACCTTCTACAGGCGCGCCTCACCCATGTACGAGGCGCGCCCAAGATCGAGGCAGCCGACAAGGAAGCAGCTGACGTCCAGCTCGAGGCCACCAAGCAATACGACCTCACCATGGACATGTTCCGCTGCTCAGAGGACATATGGTTGTCGAGGGTCAGTGGCGTGAGCCAGGCAGAGCTCCAAGCGCAACAGGAGACACATCGCCACACCATGCAAGAGAGGGCCGCCGCCATCGACCACACAACGGCTAAGCAAGCAGCCCGAGCCTCACGATCCCGGCCACAACACCAGTCCCCGGCCCAAGGCACTGGAGGCATGATTCCACACCAGCCGACCGTGGAAGCAAAGCCACCGCTCACTGCCGCACTGCTCAAAAATTGGCTGGGCAGCGAGCAAGTTCGCCACGGGACGAATGCCCAGCAACACAAGTTGTTGCAGCTGATCGTGGAGCGCATCTTGGTGGAATACGCGTTGATGGACCCTGCAGAGACGCTCCTGAAAAGCGGCGAGCCGCTGGTCTACCTCCTACATGGACCGCCAGGCACCGGCAAGTCTTTCGTCCTATCCTACCTCCACCAACTCTTCCAGCTCATCGGCTACCACCAGGGCATCGAGTTCGAGGTTGTGGCCTTCCAGGCAGTGAACGCCGCAGACCTAAAAGGCAAGACCATCCACCATGCATTCGGGTTCAGCATTGGGGCAGCCGAGGCGGACCAAATCATCAACTTGGAAACTGCAAAGAGGATGGCTTACTGGCGCTGGTTGATCTTCGACGAAATCAGCATGGTCAACGCGCGCCTGTTGGCTCAGGCAGAAAACCGCCTAAGGGCAGTTGTGCCAAATGCCAGCCCCTGGAAGCACACCCAACAAGGTGACATCCGTGCCTTTGCCGGCGTCAACGTGATCTTCACTGGAGATTTCCATCAACTACCCCCACCTGAAGGCGCTGTGCCCATGCCCAAGAACGTGTTAAGACCAGGGACACGAAACCAACATGCTTCATAATTACTTGCAGACAGCTCTGTCTTGACTTGAATGCTTCTAGGTTGCAAGCATTCCGAGCCATTAAAGTTTCTTATCTTTCCTGCGAGGTGGGTATTTGGCAGACATTCCGGCCCGCCTGAAAGAGCACACCCCAGCTTTGCAGAACACGGACGTGCTCATCAACTACGGCCGAGAACTCTTTTGGAGCGGGCCGGTTCAAGGTGTGGTAGAGCTCACGGAGCGCGAGCGCTGCAAAGACGAATGGTGGAATGAGGTCGTGGACGAGCTCCGCCGTGGCCAGCTGTCTAAAAGCAACTGGCAATATCTACACGGGATGCCCGTTGAAGGCTGCACCCTGTCCATTGAAGAGAAAGAGTCACGCAAAAGGGTCATCACCGACCCCAATGATGAACGGCTCCAGTTAGACCGCTTCAGGGAAGCCCCCGTGATTGTGTCCAACAACGATGCCCGGTATCAGATCAACAAGGACCGGGCTCGCTCCCACAGCCACGCCAACAAGATGCCGTTATATTGGTCTGCAGCCATTGACACGGCATCTTCAGCAGCGCTCCAGGCAGAGAATTGCGACAAGGACGCCAAAGTGAGGCACGGGTCATGTATACATACATTTGTGTACATATTTTAAAACATATATGCGCAGGCCACTTACGCAAGCATGCAAGGTTGAGGTAGTTGCTAGTGTATTTACATATGCACATACAAATATATATATATACATTTATTACTCATATTTTTCTATACAACTACTAATTAAGTGTACGCGTCTGTATTTAGACATGCGCAAAACCACACACACACAATAACACAATATATACACGCATTCCCTTCTCCCCACCTAAAGGTGGCTACAATACCACGATCGAGACACCGGAGATCTTTGCGGCATGCTCCCCCTATCTATCGGAATGCGCGTGGCCTTGACCGATCACATCGACCGCTCGCCAGAGAAGCTTCTTCTGCGCGGCAGAACGGGCACTGTACACTCATGGATTTGGGACGAGCATGCCCAACAGCCCAAAGTTGTCTATGTCAAATTTGACAACTCTGACAATTGGGCTCTGGACGGCACGCCGGCACCAGGCATCTACCCCATCTACCCAGTCAAGAGGGAATGGTACTTGGATGCCAAGCGCAAAAGAAGCCTCTTGAAGATCACCCGGAAGCAGCTTCCACTTACACCAGCATATGCCATGACAGCCCACGCCAGTCAAGGCAAAACGCTCCGGGCGGTGCTGTTGGACCTGAATGTGGACAAGCGCGTGGACGCCACCTTTGGCACAGTGGCGGCCAGCCGCGTGCGCAGCCGGGAAGACGTGCTCATCTTAAGGCCCTTCCCACTCTGGCTCTTCAACCGCGGGGCAAACGAAGGCCCGGCCCTCTTGCTGCAGACGCTCCGTGGAGAAGAAGTGGATTGGCAAGCCCACAGGGAAGCGCGCTATCCCACAGCAGTCTGTGCATCGCGCAAGCAAACTCAAGCTTTGGACGCGTTTGATGTGGAGCAATGGGAGCGCGCTCGGGCAAACAGAGATGCCAAATGCATGCAATGCAAACATGGCGACAAAGGCCCACGCAAACGGAAGCTTCCAAGCGGCACCATGAAGATTCAATGCGACAGCTGCAAGAGGCAAAAGATCGAGGACGCATTTCCCCGCGCACAGCTCAATTCGAGAACGGGGAAGCCTCGATGCTTGCCATGCATCCAGCAACTGAGCAGCCTACAATGTGCCCTTTGCAAAGAGACCAAGCCGGTGGAGGCATTCAGCAGCACCATGGTCACCATGAGCTCAGCAAACATATTATGTAAGTCGTGCGGGGAAGCCAACATAACCGCTGATAGGGGCACGAGGACAGGCTGCTTCACATGCAGATCTTGCGGCAACAGCTTCGTCAATGACGCTCTCTTCGGGCCAAGGCATAGCTATCTACAAGTGCAGCGTTGTAGCAACTGCCACAAAAGAGATGCGAGGCAAAAAGACCTGCACACCTGTCGCAACCGGCTATGCCAACGCAAGTGGTATGAGAAGCAAGCAAAATCAGAATCTCGTAGAAGATACTGCCCTCAGTGCCGCGCAAGATGAGGCTGCGGAAACATGAATGCCTTGCCTAAAGAAATGAAGGCAGGCATGATCTTCACAAAGGAAGATTGCCATGCTGTTGCTGAGCAGCACGCGGCACTTGTATGGTCGCAACTATCCAATTTATGCTTGCAATCGAGCGGAACGCTCAAAACCATCTTTTCAGCTGATTGTTCATTGTACAGATGATCATACAGACTTGCGCTGGGCACAAACCTCCATAGTAGCACAGTTGGAGTGAACAGACGTGCCAAGCCTCCTCAAAAAGAGACAGTCCATATACTTGCATGCCAGCTTGCAGAAAAAGAAGTGTGCCTGCGCTTTGGTGCCAACAAGAAATATTCACATTATATATATATACATATTCTATTTACATATTAATGAGCCAGGCGCAAGGCACATGCCGTTACCATTGCTGTTTTAGACCTTCATTCAGTACACGCATGCTCCGGCCTACTTTGAGAACAAACAACAAGATCTCATCATATGTTCATATGGTCACACCTTTTAGTTTCCAGCGTGAAAACACCCGCTGAAAAGCATTGCAGCCATATCTGCTCGTGTTTTAGCTTGAACCCCGCACAATCTACCACGCCATGGTTGCTTGGGCGTTGCTCTTCAGCAGTTACCTCAACCTCACGGCAAATGCGGATCAACGAGAAGAATCCAGAGAAGAGATCGAAGCCACCCGCGAAGAATACCTCATCATTATCCGAATGTGTGGGTTGCGGCAGGCCACGCGCTCCATGGCTTCTTTTTGGATCGCTTCCACTGCATACCTCCTCGCAGCCGACATCGCGCCCGACATGCCACACTTGCGCCTGCCGGCTCACATTGACACAAGCCCGTTGATGGCAAGATCAGAGCCAGCTTCCTTCTTGCTGCTTCGAACTCTACCAGACCTTCCAGTTTGCCGCCAGCAATGGCTCAAGATTGTCTCCTTTCTGCAACGCCTCCGCAATTTGTGCACAAAGCCCGCTGACACCCAAGAGCTTACGGAGATGATATTATGCTTGCAAGACATCGTTGCAATCACGGGCCATTGGGAAACAGCAGAGCAAAAAAGAAGGCGAATGCACTTTGAAAGCGAGTGAGTTCTGGTGTTCAGCCAAAAGCGAGACCCGGCATGAGACTGAACAGCTCATGCAAGAGGTCTTGACTCAATTCTTTTGCCACCAAAAAGGCCCCGCACCGAATTGGGTCGCTTGTGCAACAGGAGCGGAAAAAGAGTGCACTGGACAGTCATGAATCGTCACAAAGGGTTGGCAATGTTAAGGCTATAATGAGTTATGCTGAAATTGCATGAAACGAAAGATCATTGATCACGTTCTTTTCCTGGTTATGTGCACTTGAACTTTTCCAATATTGACAGTAACACATTACTTCCAGCTTGATCTGCGCCCGTGTGTTGTGTTGCTCAGCATGTCAAGTTGGCTCAAGAAACTACAATACCCGCCTTTGTTGCCATGCCAGGCGAATGAGCATCTCTCCGTTGTAAAGGCCCCTAGAAGAATAAAATCGAGCAAACATGATTGAAGAGGAATCTGTGCCACGAGGGCCTGTAGAAGAAGATTCCATGCCACGAGAAGCCTTCGAAAGGCATTTCTGTGCTACGGGTACCTTTAAGCACGGATGCTGTGCTAGGAGGATTTTTAATCTAAAATGCGTTTTTAGTAAAAATCATGGAAGGATTTACATGATAGAAAAATGAGAAAATTATGGGAAGATTTAAATTTAGAAAGGTTTTGAAATCATGCCCAAAAATATAAGATAGAAAATAGAGTTCTCTTCTAAAGGCTCTCGTAGCACACAACCCTCCTCTAAAGGCTCTCCTAGCACAGAATCTTCTTCTAAAGATTTTCGGTGCACAGATTCCTTTTCCAAAGGCCCTCGTAGCACAGAATCTTTTTCTAAAGGTTCTCGTAGCACAGAATCCTCTTCTAAAGGCTCTCGTAGCACAGATTCCTCTTTTAAAGGCTCTCGTGGCACAGAATCCTCTTCTAAGGACTTTCGAAAAATAATTCGATTAGGAAAAGATAATTCGATTAGGAAAAGAAGAATAAACTATAATGAATTATGATTAATGAAATTATGCCATAAATATTGATAATGCTATGATTTTTATTTAAATCTATTTTTGATTCTAAAATCATAAAAATGTATAGATTTGTGGTTTTAGTTATTTCTTAATTAAAAATTGAACACCATAATATGTTTATTGCCGAAAAATAATTCGATTAGGAAAAATAATTCAATTAGGAAAAAATATAAAAATAATAAACATTATTTTAAATATCATTATTCAAGAAATACTAAAAATACTATGAATTTTATGTAATATTCATTTTTAATTGAAACCATAAATATATATAAATTTATATGATTTTAAATAATTTTTCATTTGAAATTTAAACACCATAAAAACATATTCCTTAACGATCAAGAAATCGATGAGGAAAAAAAATTCGATTAGGAACATATAATTTGATTAGGAAAATATAATTCGACTTGGAAAATATAATTCGATTAGGAAAACAATAAATATATAAAAAATACTATAGTTTTTATTAAATATAATTATTGAATTAAAAATCATAAAACAATATATTTTTTTATGATTTGTATTTAATTTTTGAATTAAAATTGAAAACCATAAAAATATTTTCCTTGACGAAAAAAAAATCGATTAGGAAAATATAATTCGATTAGGAAAAAAATTCGATTAGAAAATATAATTCGACTAGAACATATAATTCGATTAGGAAAAAATAGAAATTTTAAAATGCCATGGTTTTTATTTAAAAATAATCTATTAATTAAACACCATAAAAATATATAAATATTTATAAATTTATTTTTATTTTGATTTAAAATTGAAAACCATAAGCATATTTTCCTTGACGAAAAATACATCGATTAGGAAAATATAATTCGATTAGGAAAAGAATAGAAATTTTAAAATGCTATGGTTTTTATTTAAAGCTTATTTATTAGTTAAAAATCATAGAAATATTGAAAATCATAAAAATATTTTCTTTGACGAAAAAAAATTCGACTAGGAAAAAGTAATTCGATTAGGAAAATATAATTCGAATAGGAAAAAATAGAAATATGAAAAATGCTATGGTTTTATTTAAATTTTATGAATTAATTAAAATTCATAAATATATAAAATTTTCTATTATTTTATTTAAATTTTGAATTAAAATTGCAAATCATAAAAAATTCCTTGACGAAAAATAATTCCATTAAGAATATATAATTTCGATTAGGAAAATATATTTCGATTAGGAAAAAGATATTTTGATTAAAAAAATATACCATAAATTCAATAAATATCTCTGGTTTTTGATTTTCAATTAAAAATGATATAAAATCATAAAATATTATATATTTTTATGGTATTTAATTAAGAATTAGTTTTTAATTACTCACCAGAAAAATGTATAAATTTATATCATTTTATTTCATTTTTAATTGAAATTCGAAAACCAGAGAAATATTTTTCATAATTAAAAAGACTCCCATGAAAAAGTGAAGCTTAGGGCGAGTACCACTACGGGGAAAAAAACATAAATATTAAAATGCTATGGTTTTTATTTTAAATTAATTTAATAATAAACAACCATAGCAATATATAAATTGCTATGATTTTATTTAATTTTTGAATTAAAATTGAAAATCATAAATAAATTTCCTTGACGAAAAATAATTCGGTTGGGAAAATAAAATTCGATTAGGAAAATATAATTCGATTAGGAAAATTATATCATAAAAGACAAAAAATATCGTTGATTTTCGATTTTCATATTTTGCAGGTTTTTAATTAATAATGAATTTTTCATTAATTATCAGAAAAATATATTTTTTTATTTTTTTCCTTGATGAAAAATAATTCGATTAGGAATATATAATTCGAGAAGGAAAATATAATTCGATTAGGAAAATATAATTCAATTGGGAAAATACAATTCGATTAGGAACAAATATTGAAACTGCTATGGTTTTTATTTAAATTTATTTTTTAAATAAAAACCATAAAAATAGAAAACAATTTAAATAGGAAAATATATATCGATTAGGAAAATATAATTCGATTAGGAAAATATAATTCGATTAGGAAAATATATATCAATTAGGAAAAATATTGAAAACGCTATGGATTATATTTTTTGATTAATAACCATAAGAATATAAAAAATAATTCGATTAGGAAAATCTAAATCGATTAGGAAAATATAATTCGATTAGGAAAAATATTGAAAATATTCTGGGTTTTATTTAAAAATAATTTTTAATTAATAACCATGAGAATATAAAAAAATAATTCGATTAGGAAAATATATATCGATTAGGCAAATATAATTTAATTAGGAAACTATAATTTAATTAAAAAATTTTACCAGAAAATTAAAAATATCTCTGGTTTTTGAT